CTCTTTGTAGAGTTTGTAGGATCTTTTTTTTCTTAATATCAGGTAGATAATTTTGAATATGAATTGGGCTAGGGTCGTTAGGACGCATCCTACTCCTGGTTGAGGAAGAACACTGGTGTTAATACAGCTAGTATTAGTAGACTGTGGATAGTATTAGTAATATTAGTAGAGTAGACCATCTACTAGTAGGTCACATAAGAAATCTTAGTTAGGTTTCAAGTCCAATAAACTCAAATAAATTCATAACAACAATAGGACATGAAGTACTTCAACATCCCAACCTGTAACCCAAACTCTAACCCCAAATTTCTAAAATAAATCTAAAACCTCCATCACCAATTGCGATCCCCAATTCCCAGTTACCTGTAAGAATCCTCAGATCTCCCCAGTTCACAGCAATCATCATAATCTCAGGCACAAAAATGGAGCAAACCGCCGCCATAGAGAACACCACGCGGAAGCCAACGAACAAACTCCCGCCAAACGACCGTTCCTCATCTGGCGGCCAGATACCAATCGTACTGCACAAGATCTTGTTCGGCAGTACATAATAATCGATAGAGTCTTTCGATACTTTTCCCATGTTCTCCACGCGATGTTGATCGCGTGTCTGTTAGAGGACTCCACTTTTTTGCGTGTGCCATAACAATGCCACCCGATTAAGAATTTATTACGACATTACAGAGTGGACGGCAAATCTATATTTTCCTGTCAACAATTTGTAATACGACATTTACATCACCTCTGTGTTTTGACGAATAGTTTATGACACAAGTAGGGTGATACATTGTATGAACATGCACGGTTGCAAGTTTCATGAGGTTTCAGGTGGAACTGGTAATGTGAATTAGTTATTAGGAGGGTATATAGGGGACTCGGATTGCATTGTACGTTTTCTGTTGGGGCTTTGGTTGGGAATGCAGCAATGTGAATGATAGTGAAGAGTGAAAATTTGTGTGTTCAAAGTGCAATAAATGGTAAATAGTACAAGTAATAAATGGTAAATCATATACTTTGTGATACGTGGGGACTTTAGCTGGATTTAACGAATCAGTTGATTATACTGATAAGCACAGTTCTTTCATTTATAATTTATACATTTTGAGGTGAATGTCAAGTAAATGAGTCGGATCAGGAGCCGTATGAAAATTGATATTTCAAACCATATACAAGTAATGTATCTACATGCCATCTATTCAAAAAGAAGACCTCAACCATAAACCACGTAGAATCATCGTCACATTGACTGATCCTATATTTGTCGTAACAGAGCAAAATAGGAGGAAGCTGTGTTAAACACCTGCAACAAATTTTAAGTATTATCTTTTACATCCCCAGTTTTACAGCCTCAGTTGTAAAACATTCTGATTCATATGTTATCGCACTATGACTGAATCATAAGTTATTACATACTTACGCTCGTTAAGGTGTAAATAGAGAGCGACTGGAAAGTCAGTGCTGAAATACTGCAACACATTGTGACCTAAGAATCGTCTGAAGTATCTTCTTCCGATAAATCACAGAATAAATCTATTCCGTACCTAGTAATTGAAACGAATATTTAAACTTAGAATTATATTTAAAAATTTTTAAATGATTAATATGACTTTTACCAGACTTCGTATTGTGTTTGGGCGGAGGAGAACAAGGAACACTTTTTGTAGCAGGTAACTTTTATTAATAATGATGTGAACAAGACGTGTGGTAAAAGCGGAATGACGCCAACGCATGGCCGGGCCGGAAGAAACGGTTTAAGCACAAATGGCGATCGAATTCTCGCGCGGTTTGCGCTCGGTACCATTCGGGTGTCCCCGGCGACCTTCGTGACCGCGTCGCTCAGTCCGCTCGTGGGACTAATTACCCAATCACGTATATAACAGTTATCTTATGAAATTAAATAAAAAACTATAAACTATTAACAAATCTGTACTCCTGCATCCACTTCTAGAGGATTAGACTGAACATCAGCAACAGAACCAAATTTTATTCTATCAGTCATGCAACATTTCTTCACTAATTGCATATAAACATTACACTATGTACAACTATATTTAACTGTCTTGACGTGGTTTATAATTGCGATAACCATTATGAAGACATTGCGCTTTCTTCCATTTGTCGTAATAAAGTGAAATACGAAGCGGCCGTATTGAATATCTGAAACAAGGTTTTCAATTTGAATGTTAAATTAATGATTTCTTTTACTCCCAAGTTAATTATAATATGTTTAATAACTACAAATCACTCACCGTTGTTAGAGTACGAATAGACACCGATTTAAAAGTCAAAGCCGAAAGACTGCAAACATTTTGCGACCTGAGTATCATGAGCAACAACATTCTCCGACAAGCAGGCGCCATTTTGTACCACGGTACGTTCAAATAAACCGCGTATCCTACTTCTAAACTCGCTTGAATCAGAATTTCTCCAGGCCAACACCACAAAATCAACTGTATCATCATCGACATCGCGTAAGCAATAAACATCCTTCACCGCACTACAGAAACAAAAATATTGTTAAATTATTGAAGTCACAAGAATGACCAACAACGCTCACCTAATTAATCTTTGGTGATGACGAATGCATTTGACTAGGTCAGCCGTTACACTCCCTGGAGAATCACAATTTTTAATTCCGATATTACTGACCCACATACACATCAGCCGAAATTGACCGCATATGTGTATAATCGAGATTGCACACGTGGTGTCAAGACCAGTAATTCCTACGCAGCAAATTGCAGATGCCACAACTTGACACGCAAAGGCAATTTCAAAAGCGGGTGAATCCGTCACATCTGTTCCGTACCTGCAAGGTCGTTTCATTAAAACTTAAGAAGTCAAAGAACTAACTTCATTATTGAAAAATTTACCAGACTTCGAATGGTAAATGTCTGTTAGCTGTATTGTTATCTTGTCCAAGTTTGATGTAGTCAGAAACTGCTGAAACTATGAAGATGGCGACGGTCAACATACCGGTCGTGTAGAAGATTATGGTACAATTTCGTGCTATGTACGCTAGGTCTTGGTAGCATCGCCTCTCTTTGGGGTCGTGGGACGAGTCCCAGAGACTTCTCAACTCTTTGTAGAGTTTGTAGGATTTTTCTTTTCTTGCTGTTAGGTATATCATTTTGAATATGAGTTGCGCTACTGTCGTTAGGACGCATCCTACTCCTGGTTGAGGAAGAAGGCTGGTATTAATACAGCTAATATTAGTACACTGTGGATAGTATTAGTAGTATTAGCAGAGCAGACTATGTAGTAGTATTAGTAGACCTTATAAAAAATCTTAGTTAGGTTTCAAGTCCATTAAACTCAAATAAATTCATAACAACAATAGAACATCAAGTACTTCAACGTCCCAAATTGTGGCCCAAACTGTAACCCAAACTCTAACACCCAATTTCTAAAATAAATCTAAAACCTCCATCACCAGTTGCGATCACCAATTCCCAGTTACCTGTAAGAATCCTCAGATCTCCCCAGTTCACAGCAATCATCATAATCTCAGGCACAAAAATGGAGCAAACCGCCGCCATAGAGAACACCACGCGGAAGCCAACGAACAAACTCCCGCCAAACGACCGTTCCTCATCTGGCGGCCAGATACCAATCGTACTGCTAACCGCCGCTATAGAGAACACCACGCGGAAACCAACGAACAAACTCCCGCCAAACGACCGTTCCTCATCTGGCGGCCAGATACCAATCGTACTGCACAAGATCTTGTTCGGCAGTACATAATAATCGATAGAGTCCTTAGCTACTTTTCCCATATTCTCCACGCGATGTTGATCGCGTGTCTGTTAGGGCACTCAACTTTTTTGCGTGTGCCATGACAATGCCACCCGATTAAGAATTTATTACGACATTACAGAGTGGACGGCAAATCTATCCTCTTCTTTCGAGAAGATGAGGCGACGTTTACATCGCCTCTGTGTTTTGACGAATAGTTTATGATATAAGTAGGATAATATATTGCAATGAACATGCACGGTTGCAAGTTTCATGAGGTTTCAGGTGGTACTGGTAATGTGAATTAGTTAGTAGGAGGGTATATAGGGGACTCGGATTGTATTCCACATTTTCTGTTCAGGCTTTGGTTGGGAATGCAGCTTTGTGAATGCTGGTGGGGAAAAGTTAGTTTGTGTGTCTGAAGTGCAATAAGTAATAAATAGTGCAAGTAATAAATTGAAAATCATGTTTTGTGATATGTGGTGAGGTAAGCTGAATTTAACGAATCAGTTGAGTATACTGGTAATTGATTATACTTATACCGATATCAGAATAGTTCCCTAATTTATAACTAATACATTTTGAGGTGAATGTCAAGTAAATGATTCGGATCAAGAGCAGTAAGAAAATTGATATTTCAAACCATATACAAGTAATGTATCTGCATAGTCATCTATTCAAATAGAAGACCTCTTCCATAAACCACGCAGAATAATCGTCACGTTGACTGGTCCTATATTTGCTGTAACAGAACTAAATAGGAGGAAGGTGTGTTAAACACCAACAACAAATTTCAGGTATTTTCTTTTACATCCACAGTTTTACAGCCTCAGTTGCAAAACATTCTGAATCATAAGTTATCGCACTATGACTGAATCATAAGTTATCACATACTTATAGACAGCGACTGGAAAGTCAGTGCTGAAATACTGCAACACTTTTATGACCTAAAAATCATCAGAAGTATCTTCTTCTGATAAATCAGAGAATAAATCTATTCCGTACCGAGTAATTGAAACGAATAATTAAACTATAACTTACAATTATATTTAAAAACTTCTAAATGACATTTGTCTTATAAAATTAAATAAAAAACTAATCTGTACTCCTGCTTCCACTTCTAGAGGATTAGACTGAATATCAGCAACAAAACCAAATTTTATTCCATGTATCAGTCATGTACCATTTCTTCAGCAATGCCATATAAACATTACACATTGTACAATTACAAAACGTCTTGACATAACTTATAATTACGATAACCATTATTTAGACATTGCCTTTTCTTCCATTTGTCGTAATAAAGTAAAATACGAAGCGGCTGCATTGAATACCTGAAAGAATGTTTTCAATTTGAATGTTAAATTAATGATTTCTAATACCCTCAGATTAATTATATTATTTTTAATAACTACAAACCACTCACCGTTGTCAGAGAATGAATACACACAGTTCTAAACGTCAAAGCCGAAATACTGCAAACATTTTGCGACCTGAGTATCACGAGCAACAACTGTCTCCGACAAGCAGGCTCCATATTGTACCACGGTATGTTCAAATAAACCGCGTACCCTACTTCCAAGCTTTCCTGTATCAGAATTTCTCCAGGCCAACACCAGAACATCAACTGTATCATCACCGCCGTCAAATAAACAATAAATTTAAACAAATCATCACCAGTGCCTCTGAGCACTGCGAATCCACATAAGCAAATCACTATGCCGCTCGTGAGAACTTGAACGAAAATAATGGGAGTCAACAAATTATTAACATCCTTCACCGCACTACAGAAACAAAAACATCGTTAAATTACTGAAGTCACAATAATGACCAACAATGCTCACCTAATCAATCTTTGTTGGTGACGAATGCATCTGATTAGGTCAGTCGTTACAGTCCGTGGAGAATCACAATTTATTTTGATTCCGATATTACTGATCCACATACACATCAGCCGAAATTGACCGCATATGTGTAAAATCGATGTTGCACACGTGGTGTCGAGGCCAGTAACTCCTATGGTGCAAATAGAAGCTGCCAGAACTTGACAGGCAAAGGCAATTTCAAAACCGGGTGAATCCGTCACATCTGTCCCGTACCTGGAAGATCGTTTCATGGAAATTTAAAAAGTCAATGAAGAATGAACTTCATTATTTTACCAGACGTCGTATGGTAAATGTCTGTTAGCTGCATTGTTATCTTGTCCGAATTTAACGTAGTCAAAAACTGCTGAAACTGTGAAGACGGCGACGGTCAACAAACCGGACGTGTGGTAGATTATGGTACAATTCCGTGCGATGTACGCTAGGCCTTGGTAGCATTGTCTTTCTTTGGAATCGTGCGAGGAGTCCCAGAGACTTCTTAACTCTTTGTAGAGTTTGTAGGATCTTTCTTTTCTTGCTATTAGGTAGATCATTTTGAATATGAGTTGGGCTACTGTCGTTAGGACGCATCCTACTCCTGGTTGAGGAAGAGTGGTATTAGTATAACTGTAGACCTTATAAGAAATCTTAGTTCGGTCCCAAGTACATTAACACTTTAACGGCCGCTCACACAACATGTGTGTGATGCTACCGCCGAAGGTTGTTGTCCAGTGCCACACTTTCTGTGTGATAGTTTATGAATGTAAACAAGCGTGGATATTGATATTGGCTTCGTATTTCATCGCGACGTCTTTGATTTTAAGTAATTATTGCTTATTTTTAATTTTACATTTTACACTACAGTGGTGTACCACGTAAATTATAGAGCAAATGTCGGCGCTCTACGAAATATTAAATTTGTTGTTAAATTTTTGCCGTTTTTTGTTTTATGTTAACTTTTTCGTGAATTAATAAAGTTCTTTTAAATTAATTCTTCAAAAATACTGCCGGTCCCTGGCGACGTTTGACTGCGTGGACGTGCGGTCGTTAAAGTGTTAAGATGAGATAAATTCATAACAATAATCGGACATCAAGTACTTCAACATCCCAGACTGTAACTCGAACTGCAACCCAAATCCCAACTCCAAATTTTGAAAATAAATATGAAACGCACTATCACCAATTAATTTTCCAGTTACCTGTAAGAATCCTCAGATCTCCCCAGTTCACCGCAATCATCATAATCTCAGGCACAAAAATGGTGCAAACCGCCGCTATAGAGAACACCACGCGAAAGCCAACAAACAATCTCCCGCCAAACGACTGTTCCTCATCTGGCGGCCAGATACCAATCGCACTGCACATGATCTTGTTCGGCAGTACATAATAATCGATAGAGTCCTTCGCTACTTTTCCCATATTCTCCACGCGATGTTGATCGCGTGTCTGTTAGGGCACTCAACTTTTTTGCGTGTGCCATAACAATGCCACCCGATCAAGAATTTATTACGACATTACTGAGTGGACGATAAATCTATCTTTCCCTTTCAACAATTTGTAATACGACATTTGCATCACCTCTGTGTTTTGACGAATAGTTTATGACACAAGTGGGGTGACACATTGTATGAACATGCACGGTTGCAAGTTTCATGAGGTTTCAGGTGGAACTGGTAAGGTAAATTAGTTAGTAGGAGGGTATATAAGGGACTCGGATTGCATTGTACATTTTCTGTTGGGGCTTTGGTTGGAAATGTTGCAATGTGAATGATGGTGAAGAGTGAAAATTTGTGTGTTCAAAGTGCAATAAATGGAAAATGGTACAAGTAACAAATGGTAAATCATATACTTTGTGATACGTGGGGACTTTAGCTGGATTTAACGAATCAGTTGATTATACTGATAAGCATAGTTCTTTCATTTATAATTTATACATTTTGAGGTGAATGTCAAGTAAATGAGTCGGATCAGGAGCAGTATGAAAATTGATATTTCAAACCATATACAAGTAATGTATCTACATGTCATCTATTCAAATAGAAGACCTCAACCATATACCACGTAGAATCATCGTCACGTTGACTGATCCTGTATTTGTCGTAACAGAGCAAAGTAAGAGGAAGCTGTGTTAAACACCTGCAACAAATTTGAAGTATTATCATTTACATCCTCTGTTTTACAGCCTCAGTTGTAAAACATTCTGAATCATAAGTTATCGCACTATGACTGAATCATAAGTTATCACATACTTACGCTCGTTAAGGTGTAAATAGACAGCGACTGGAAGGTCAGTGCCGAAATACTGCAATACTTTTGCGACCTGAGAATCATCAGAAGTATCTTCTTCCGATAAATCAGAGGTAACTGGTACCACGGAATATTCAGATAAACAGAATGACCTATCTTCTGACTTTCCTGAGCCAGAATTTCACCGGGCCAGCACCATAATAAAAGCTGCACCATCATCGAAGCTAAGTAAGAGATAAATTTAAACAGATCGCCACCTGCGTCGTAGCTGAACACCGCGAAGCCGCTCAGACAAATCTCTATGCCAGATGTTAGGATTTGTATGAAAATTATGGGAGTCATTAATGTGTTAACGTCCTTCACTACACTGTCCAAAAATAGTAATGTTAGAAAGAAGAATTTTATCATCAAAGATGGCTTACTTTATCAATTACTTCGTCATTACTTTATCAACCGTTGCTGATGACGAATGCATTTGACCAGGTCCGTCCTCAGGTTCCTCCGAGAGTCAACCAAGTAATTAGTCAGATTGCAATCCGTTTCGAATCCTATGTGACTGATCCACACGCTAATTAGTTTAAATTGACCGCACACGTGTAATATCGCAGTCACGCACGCGGTGTCTAAGCTGCAGATTGCTACGGCGCAAATTGTGGACGCCAGTGCTTGACAGACGAACACCACTTCGAACCTGGGTGACTCTGAGACATCTATTCCGTACCTAATAATTGAAAGCAATATTTAAACTATAACTAAAATTACAATTAAAAATTGAACTTTTGAATAATATTTAATACGACAAATTTTACCAGACTTCAAAGGGTAAAGGTCGAATGCTATCGGTACCATTACTGACGTCGACATTCATGCACTCCAGCGCTGCCGAAATTATGAACACGATGGAAGTCAGAGCACCACACGAGTAGAAGGTTATGGTACAGGTTCGCGCCACGTGAGCGAGGTCTTGGTAGCATTGCATTTCTGTTGGATCGTCGGTCGAGTCCCAGAGACTTCGAAGTTCTTTGTATAATCGGTGTGATCTTTCTTTTCTTGCTACTAGGTAAATTGTTTTGAAGAGACATTGCGCTAGGGTTGTTAGAATGCATCCTACTCCTGATGGAAGAAGTACTGGTTAGTAGGAAGGGTAGTTGATGGTATGGATTTTCAAATTTTATTACAATTGCTTGTTAGATTGGATCTGTATGTACTTAAAGTGTCAAGTTTTCAAATTTCTAAATACCCAAATTCGTAAATCTTTGAGTACTTTTATACATCTTCAAATTAGCAAATCTGCAAATACGTACATTCTTAAATCTTTAAATTCATACATTTTTAAATCTTCAAATCTATATATTCTTAAATCTCCCAATGCATATATTCTTCAATTTGCAAATAAGGCCTCAGGACTTCAAATCTCCAAACGTACAAACCTAGAAACCTCCAAATCTCCAAACCTTTCAACCTCCAAACCTCCAAATCTCTAAATTTACAAATCTCCAAGTTCACAAATCCCCAAATTCTCACATTCTCAAATTCTCAAATTCGCAAATTCTGAAACCCCGAAATCCTCAAATCCCCAAGTCCTCAAACCCCCAAGTCCTCAAACCCCCAAGTCCTCAAACCTCCAAATCCACAAATCCCCAAATTCTCACATTTTCAAATCCTCAGACCCCCAAATCCTCAGACCCCCAAATCCTCAAACCCCCAAATCCTCAAACCCCGAAATCCTCAAATCCCCAAATCCTCAAGCTAACAAATCCTCACATTCTGAAATCCACAAATCCCCAAATCCTCACATTCTGAAATCCACAAATCCCCAAATTCTCACATTCTCAAATCCTCAAATCCCCAAATCCTCAAACCCCGAAATCCTCAAATCCCCAAGTCCTCAAACCCCCGAACCGTCAAACCCCCAAATCCTCACATTCTCAAATCCACAAATTCCCAAATTCTCACATTCTCAAATCCTCAAACCTCCAAATCCTCAAACCCCCAAATCCTCACATTCTCAAATCCACAAATCTCCAAATCTCCAAATCCCCAACTCTCCAAACCTCTAATCCCTAAATCCCATAATAACCTTAAATCCTCACATTCCAAAATTCCCAAATCCCCAAATCCTCAAATTTCCATATCCCCAAATCCCCACATCTCGATAGCAACCCCATATTCAGACCTGCCCCTAAACTCTGCAATCCCCACTCATCCCACTCACATTTTCATCAATTTCAAAATTGTCTCCCCTCCATTAACACTAATTACAGCAAACTTAATCCGCTGATCCCAATTACCTGTAAGAATCTTCAGATCTCCCCACTTCACAACAATAATCATAATACCGGGCACGAAAATGGTGCACACCGCCGTAACAGAGAAAACCAAGCGGAAACACGAGAACGCGTTGCGGCAGGTCGATCGTTCCTCGCTGAAAGGCCACATGCCGATCATACTACATAAAATCTTATTCGGCAGTATGTAATAATCAATGGAGTTCTTTGAAACTTTTCCCATGTTCCTCCATGCGAGACTGATCGCGTGTCTGCGAAAGGGACGTCGTCACCCTCAATCGACAACTCGTAATGACGATATTATAGAGCGAACGGCAAATCACATACAAGTGTCCTTTTTTCTTGTAAACAATTTGTAACATCTGCGTAATCACCCGGTATGAATTTTACAGTGTATGTTTGATAGGCTCTTTGACGGAGACATTGAAGTGGAAGGAAAGACGTTGCGAGGATATATTTTGCATCGTGGGGTTACAAGTTTCATGAGCCGATAGTAATCTTGGTAAATTAGTTACTATACGGAGGGTATATAAGGGAGTCGGTTTCTACTTCGCATTTTCAGTCTTCGAACAGTGGAAGTTGTAGTGAAAAATTATTTCGTGCTTAGAGTGTTGTATGAACGTATGTGGCAAAGATCTTCATGAATTTAAAATACTGAATTTGCAAAAATCGTAGTACATCTGAAGGTTCTAGTGAGTATATGTTGACCTGTTTCATCGTAGAAAATTATTTAAATTTTTATTAAATTAATTTTACGGAATAATGCGAAATAATAAAAATATTTAGTAAGAATAATATTGCATGGTTGACAGAAATCTCCCTTTCGTCACATGCAATTTGCGTTTTTCTGCGCTGTTCTCTTGATTCTTGGTTCGAGGAATTGTTAATGCTAGCATTAATAGTGAACGGTGGACCAGAGGATCTTTCGCTGCACGGAGTTGCAACATTTATAGGCCGACACGAAGCATGATGTGAATTTTTTAGTCGTGGAGGTAGAAGAGAGTGTATAGATAGCAATAAGTTATCTGATAGCTAACATAGTAGCAGGGATAAGTGGTGTATTTGGTGGCACAGTGAAGAAGTATTATCGGGAATTCTGAAGATTAAGATTGTTAAGCTGAGTTGACATGATGTAATGTATGATTATAATGTATGGTAATGTATGTAATGCATGTTAATGTATGTAATGTATGTAATGAATGGTTTCATCCTTTTTAATTACAACAACCTATTACACATTTTAAGTTAACATACATTCAACTATCGAAATAGCTCGTCAATTTACTCGCAGAAAAATACAATTACATATTTTTATCCTGTATTTGCCGCAACAGAGCAAAATAAGAGAAAGCTGTATTAAGTACCTGGAACAAATATCTTCTGTACCACTAATATAGTACTATTTTTTAAAAAATCAATTGCTTACATTCGTCAAAGTATAGATTGACAGCGAATGAAAGATGAACGCCGATAGACTGCAAGTCTTCTGCGACCTTAGAACAATGAGGCATAACTGTCTCCGATAAAATGGCGGCAACTTGTACCACGGTACATTGACATAAACCGCGTATCCTATGTGCAGACTTTCCTGAATCAGAATCTCACCAGGCCAGCACCACAGTAGAAGCTGTATCGTCATCGATAATATATAAGATACAAATTTGAATAGGTCATCAGTTGTGTTATTGCTGAGGATCGCGTATCCACCCAGACAGAACACTATGCTACTCGTGAAAACTTGCATGAAGATGATGGGAGTCAATAAGGAATTAACATCCTGCAGCACTCTGTAAAAATAACTATGAAGCTGAATACTTGATAAAAACGGTGGACTCACTTTATTAATCGCTGATGGTGACGGATGCATTTGATCAAATCTGCAGACACACTCGGAGGACAGTTGTGCAAATCGATTCGATTGTACTGCATTTCGATACCGATGTTACTGAGCCACGTCGTGATTAATCTAAATTGTCCTGATAAGTGCAGAATGATGGCCACGCACGTGCCATCCAGACCTCCAACTGCGCAGGAAGCAACGATGGACGCCAGAATTTGGGAAACGAAGATAATCTCAAATTCAGGTGAATCTATGAAGTCTATTCCACGCCTGTCACATGTCATAAATATAATCTCTGTTTTTTGACAAAACTTGCTACAATTTTATATAATAATTCAGTACATCTCCATTTGGTAAGTTTGAGAGACTTCTAACTGTACATTTATCATACAACTGTGTTATTCATATACTGAAGATTAATAACTACTGATAAAATACAAGCAAACAGATAAAAGGCAAGTTTTACCAGACATCATATGGCAAATGTCGGCTGCCAGCATTCATGTTCACATCCGTAATATAATCATACGTCGCTGAAATCGAGAAGATGATCACAGTTCCAACGCAAGATACGCCGAAGGTTATGGTACATTTCCTCGCCCAGTATGCGAACAATTCATAAGACTGTCTTTCCACTGGATCTTTCGTCAGATACCACAGACTTCTTAATTCTATGTACAACTTGTATGCCTCTTCTCTCCTCATGGTTAGATACACTGTTTTGAAGAGTAGCTGTGTGAGCGACATTATGAGGCATCCTGCTCCTAATTTGGAAGAACGTGTATTAGCATGTAACCAAGATTTACTGTATAGTCAAGATTTATTTATGACAAGTGTTATTCTGATGGAAACGAAGGAAATGTGGTAGTCGTTGACATATTCACCATGTAAGACTGAAGGGGTTTAGGTAGTGAACTACCTGGGTCTGGTGAGAGACTTTTGGGACACCTAGGAACGAGTTGATATCAAAAGTTTATGGAGAATATGTGGAAACTCTGCATATAGAGAACTTAGAGAGAACCTAGATAGGGATTAAGAAAATCTATGGATTCCCTGAGGAGACTAGAAGTTCAAGGAGAATGTAGAGACCACTTATGGAAGGTAGTCTATATCTTGGTGGAGGCGTTGGACAGCCTATGACGTCAACCTAGGTTTAATTAGCTGCTTAATGTGAACTAGGATCCCAAGACATTTCAGAAGCTACATAAGAATCTCAAACCAAGTCTGCATCCACATATAACATACACATCTACACATAACATCCACATCTACATAGGACATCCACATCCACATATGACATCCACATCCACATATACCACCCACATCCACATATACCATCCACATCTACATATGACCTCCACATCTACATATGACATCCACATCTACATCCACATGCACATCCACATATAGCACTGTTTAACTATCTTCTGCATCTCTACCCAGTCAACTAACCACACTACCCAAATTAATTCAACTTGCAAGTTACCTGCAAAAATCTTCAGATCCTTCCACTTGACAGCCACCAACATAATCTCAGGCACCAAGATCACAAACACCGTCAGTACAGAGAACACAAAGTGCAAGTATGCCAATATTTTCCTGACAGTCGAGCGTTTCTTATCAGAAGGCCACATACCGAACATACTGCACAAAATCTTGTTCGGGAATATGTAATAATCGATAGTGTCCTTTGACGGTTGTCTCATCTCCCACCACTTGATCGCGTGTCTCGCAGAGGGTTCGCTTTTTTTCCTCGTCTACCGGAAGAATGTCTCCAGTTAAGAATTTTTCATAATAATATTACGCGACGGGTAGAAATGCAAGTTTCTTTCGTCACACGCAATCTGCAATATTGATGTCCCTTTGCTACCCTCTGCTTTTGATATGCGGAGTAGCTAATGTGGGCAACCAGATATCTTGGAAGCTATTAAAACTTTTATGAGTTAACAACACGAAGATAGGTGAATCATTTAGTATTTGGGGGGTCATCTTTCGTTTCATTTTTTGCCCTTAGTGTTCTTTGCGACCGGGTAGCAAACAGGGTAGCTTGGAGTCAAGGAGTATTCGAATCAAGGAAAATAAATTATATTTCACTTGTTGTCAGAGAATTATTTCAGACATCGAACAGACATTGCATATCACGTCATACACGTATGATGCATATAACTAAGCGTATATATACTTTGCGTAAAGTGATATCATCGTCACGAGAATGTGTCTTGCATCTTTCGTAACAGGGCGAAATAGGAGGAGCCTCTGTTGAATACCTGAAACAAATATTCTTGCGATCAAATTCTTCTTATGATCAAATTTACAAAATCCTGTTTCCAAATTTGAATTGAGGACATCAAGAGAATCAGAGACATCAAGAATCAAGGACATCAAAAGAATCAAGGACATCAAGAGAATAAAGTACATTGTTATTGAGTGTTTGAGATATTTGTAAGATTTAGAGGATGTGCCCCTCCACGTTGTCTGTCTGTCGCGTGCTCTTCGATGCATGTTTCGACTAATAATTAGTACTGCAAGTATTGTGGGATATCTTCAACGGTATTAAAACTTTGATGAGCTAGGACAACGCGACGACAACACTGATGAATTATTTACTATTTAGGGTAGCAAAGTTATTTTTTTCATTTTATTTTTTACGGAAACTGTGAGGACTCTGATGGCCAACTTTACAGATGTTACTGACACCTTTACAGACTTTACAGAAGTGGTGCGTTATTTGCCACGAAATCTGTTCGGGTTAAGGTATGTAGTCTAGTTTCATGTATGATATTTTTCTTTCTCTCGTTTACAATCAATAGTGCTTTTTCTAATGAATAGTGTACAGCGATAGTTGTAGTTTATTACTGTTCATGTACGTGGATTTATAATGGACCGTCACATGGACCTTTCTTGTACTTTCCGGAGCAGAGCGAAGTAGGAGGAGCCTGTGTTGAATACCTAGATCAAAATTTCTACTATTAGTGTTCATACATTACTACTGTTACTTAGTTGTTAAAAATTAGATGTTCCAATTACATTTTTCAATTTACATCTTGCAATTTACATTTTTCAATTTACATCTTTCAATTTCGAATTCTTGGAAATTTAAGAATTAAAGATGAAATTTTGAAAAGTTAAGAACGAAATTAATGTATGAAACTATTGAATAATGTCTTAATTTTAAAATTTCTGAATTTGACAATCAAAGAGATTGTTAAATGAAAATTAATGAATCTGACTAATTCGCAAGCACCCTGATTGAAATAATTGTTCTCTAAGAAATTAAGGAGAAATGTGGATACGTACGTTCGTCAAAGTGTGACTAGACAGCGACTTAAACGTCAATGCAGATATGCAGCAATACTTCTGCGACTTTATGATTATGAGTAACAGTTGTCTCCGATGAAACAGTGGCAGTTGGTACCACGGTACATTCAAGTACGCAGCGTGACCCACTTTCTGACTTTCCTGAATGAGAATCTCTCCGGGCCAGCAGTACATTACGATCTGTATCGTCACCGATGCTAAGTAAGCGATGAATATCACGAGGTCATCTCCCACGTTATTGCTGAGCACCGCGAATCCGCTTAGACAAATCTGTATGCCACCAGTGAGGAGTTGGACGAAAATAATGGGTGCCAATAATGTGTTGACATCCTCCACCACACTGTTAAAGAGAGTTTAAGGAAGAATTATCACGTTGTTGAAATAAAGTTTGAGAAAGAATTATCAGATTATTAAAATAGAGTTGAAGGAAGAATTATCACATTGTCAAAATAAAATTTAAGGAAGAATTGTATGACAAAATTAATGAAGAAGAGTTACTTTATTAATCGCTGATGATGACGAATGCATCTGACGAGGTCCGCCGTTAGCTTCACCGGACAATTATGCAAATCGATAGGCTTGCACTTCATTTCGATACCGATGTTATTCAGCCAGGTGGTAATTAATCTAAACTGACCCGACACGTGTAAGATCGTGGTCAAACACATACCATCCAGACCGCAAAGTCCGAAGCAGCTAATAAAGGATGACATGATCTGGCCGGCGTACAACAACTCGAATTCTGGTGATTTCGAATACTCCATTTCGTGCCTGTATTCCACATAAATATTATTTCGATTGAAAAAATTAAGTTATAGAATGAATAAAAATAATTCACCAGACATCGTATGGTAAATATCGGTTGCTACTATTGTCCAGGTCTTGTTGATTAAGCGAATCCAGAACGCCAGATATCATGAACATGGAGGTGGTTGACATTCCTGACACGAAGAAGGCTATGGTGCATGTTCTACCCCAGTAAGCGAACACTTCATACGATTTTTTTTCGACAGGATCGTCAGTCGAGTTCCAAAGGCTTCTCAGTTCGTCTAAAAGTCTGCATGCTTTTTCTTTCTTCGCCACAAGATAAGCGGTTTTGAATAGAAATTGTCCAACTGTCACTACGAGGGAACCGGCACCTAATTGAGAAAGAATATTAACTTAAGTAGCATTGGAAATCCACGATTTGGCGCGTGAAGGGGTTGACCCAGGTGTTTGGTAGGCTCCAATTGGTCAGAATAAAAAAATGGACGCCTCACACGTATTTTCGGTATTGTGCGATCGCACACCAATTAGGCCAAAAACAATGATAGTCGCAAACATCTCTAGGGTGGGAGAGTGCGTATTGCGTGATGCAGTTATTATTATTATTTACCGAAATGCTGGAAATATTCTTGGTGGACTAGGCTTCTTTTTGGACCTTAACTCGTGTTTGACATTTCTACTTAAATTATTACATCCAAATTGAAAATTTACGCGTACCAAAAATACGAAAAAAATTTCCAATATTTCTACTGCGAGTACGCCACGAGTGCGTCATAGCTCACGCGCCAACTCGTGGGACATCCATACGTAAATTATTATACCTCAATTGAAAATTCGCTTGTACTAAAAAAATGAGAGAAATTTGCAATATTTGAACTGCGAGTGTGTCACGAGTGCGTCATGAGTGCGTCATAGCTCTCGCACCAACTCACAGTTTCATACATCATGCAATGTCCTTCTCATTTACCTGCTACAACAGAAAGATCCCGCCAATTTGACGATATTAGCATAATCTCAGGTACAAGGACGCTGCACGCAATCATCACAGAAAGCACCAAATGTAGAACCGAGAACACTTTCTTGATAGTCGAGCGTTCCTCAGTCGAAGGCCATATTCCGTACATGCTGCATAAAATCTTGTTCGGCAGTATGTAATAGTCGATCGTGTCCTTTGACACTTTTTCCATGCTGTCCCTCCGTGTACTGGTCGTCCGTCCGCTAAAAGGCTCGCATCGTTCGCAACAATGTTCCCTAAGATCCCTTTGTAAGAATATTAGATAGCGGACGGTAAATCATATAGCTAGATTCCCCCTTTTGCAATTTCCAATATTCATGTCACCGTTTAGCGAAACTTTTTCATTATCCGTGTTTTGGTTCATAATTTGTGGACCAGTATATACTGTAGGAAGTATTTCTTGCATAACGGAGTTGTAACTTTTATGAGCTCTCGCGACATAACATACAGTTTGTATCCCATGTGAATTATTTAATGTTTGTGGAGCCTCTGATTTGCTTTTGTGCTTTTCCTTCCCTTTTGCTAGAGTAAACGCGGCCTTTTGGGGTTGGGGAGACGTGGCGTGTGATAAAGCATGTGGTGCATTGGAGGTTGATACCTTTCACGAATTTCACAGTTTTGTCGAAACTGTTTGCAGAGTAAAATCATTTCTAGTCTGAGAGAGGTGCCATTTAAATTAACAACTAGTTTAAATAATAGTTTAGTAACTTCAAACTTATGGCAGTAACGTGTGATATGGTTTAGTGGTATGTTTCAGATTGTTGTACAGCAAAATAATAACAAGATTGTGAATTTTGTCATTAATTGACTGAATTGTTGTTGCAGGTCTATGAGCCAAGTGACCGCATCAGACATATTGCATGAACTTACTGAGTGAATATGAACATTCCTGATCGTCCAAAAATATGCAGGTGCTTTTGAACTCAAACATCAGGAAAATGAAGAGATGCAGTCACGTGACCTCATGATGAAGTTCATGGTGAGGATATCAAATGCATTTACAATTTGACAGATTACAGCGTACCTACAGTTCAAGCTCTTGATCTTGAAGCAATATTGCCATAATCTGTGCTCTTAGCCCAGGAAATTCAAGGATGAATCAGAGAAGCAAAATGTTATTGAAAATTTTTAAAGTTAAGCTGCATATAATTTAAGATAGCTAGTTGTTGAAAGTGGACACTAATTGTGCTTGATATTTAAAAAAAAAGATTATTGAGAAGAAATAACAGTGGTCAGTGCAAAAATTCTTGTGTTACAATCAATAGTATTAACCCATTGTTAACTTGAAAAATTAAGAAGATATTGACCGTTCAATAAGGTTTCAAACTTCAGTTTAATAACACTAATAACAAAAATTCAATCATACATTTCTCATTAACTTCATAACTTCAGTCAATATAATTCTGAACTTGCTCGTGTGGTTATCCCATGATTCCGAAACTACGGAGATTGCATTCGTTACATCGGCGTTTCTTGCATTTGTCTCAGCAGGGTAAAGTACGAAGCCGCTGTATTAAATACCTGAAACAAATTGGACGTATTCTGCTATACTACGTGATACTTCCAACCAAGTTATTAACTAAATTGCTAAATAGTTGCTAAATAATTAAGTTGCTAAAATTGCTAAATAACTAAGTTGTTAAAATTGCTAAATAATTGCTAAATAACTAAGTTGTTAAAATTGCTAAATAATTGCTAAATAACCAATATCAAATAACTTAATTCAGCAAACTAAATCATAACACTCTTCAAAATCCGAAACTACAAAATCCAAAATTCGAAACGAAAGTCTCTGAAACGTCACCGCAGTAATGCTGCAACATTTCTGCGCTCTCAGAATTGTAAGAAGCAGTTGTCTTCTATTACTCGGTGGCAATTTATACCAGCACACATTCAGATAAGCCGCATCCCCTACCTCCTCGCTCTCCCGAATCAGAATCTCACCGGGGTAACAATACAGCAGGAGCTGTGTCGTCATCCCGAATAAATAAAGAACGGCTTTAATTAATTCGGCATTCGTGTTGTTATTCATAACCGCGAATCCGCTCAAACAGATCTTGATGCCGCTCGTGAGGAGTTGGATGAAGATGATGGGGATTAGCAGATCGTTCAATTCGTTCACCACACTGTGCAAAAGTTATGGTAATCCGAGTAGAGTACAAGAGTATATACTTTAAGTAAAGTGTACTATAATACAGAGTTTAAATACTAATCTAAATAAAGAGTGCTATAATACAAAGTTTAAATACTAATCTAAGTAAAGAGTGCTATTGTACATGGACCCGTATATATACATCAATAAATTTCTTGAAAATAAGTAAATACCGTCATGCGGTCTTTCCTTGTATATTCCGCAGGAGGGCGAAATACGAGGAGGCTGTGTTGAACACCTACAATAAAATTTTTAAGACTTTATCTAACTGCTGAAAATTTGCAATTCTATTATATTAAACGATAAACATTTCTAAAATGAATTAAATAATTGTGAAACGAATTTGGACCCAAATTTTGTAATTAAACTTGCTAAACGAATATTTGTAACTTTGACAAATTTTTAGGCTTTGATGAACCTGGCTGATGAAGCGCCCTCAACTCTGAACAATCAGTGAAAAATGATACTTACACTTGTTAACGTGTGACTGGACAACGACTCAAACGTCAACGCCTTAATACAGCAGCTTTCCTGCGCCTTCATGATTACGAACAACAGATGTCTCCGATAACACAACGGCAGTTGGTACCACGGTACATTCAGGTAAGCTGCGTAAGCCACTTTCTGACTTTCCTGGATCAGAATTTCTCCGGGCCAACACAGCATTACCAACTGTATCATCACCGCTCCTAAGTAGGAGATGAACTTGAAGACATTAGCTCCCACATTATTACTAAGCACCGCGAATCCCGTTAGACAGATCTGCATGCCACTTGTGAGGAGATGTACGAAGACTATGGGTGTCATGAAAATGTTGACGTCCTTTACTGTCCTGTTGAAACAGAGTATCATTAGTTGATGTATCACTAGTTGACACAGTGTCATTAGTTGACGTAGTATCACTAGATGACACAGTATCACTCCTTGAAGAATCTCAATGAGAATTCTGTTGCTAACACTAAACCTACCGACATATAATGTGTATTTACTTTGAAACTAAAAATGAAGTTAAAGAATAAATAAACATAAATTAGTACACATATTTGTTCTTTATCCTGATGAAAATCAATGGCAATTTCAAGGAATGTACTTTATAATAAGAAACTTGAGGTGTGGTCATTTGACCGGTCTGGTAGTTTTAATGTTAAAATGATGAATACTTACTTAATTAATCGTTGGTGATGACGAATGCATTTCATCAAACCCGCCACTATTTTTACAGGTCGTTTACTCAAATCGATAGTTGTGTAATTCATTTCGATGCCAATGTTAGTCAGCCATGTAGTAATCAAACGGAACTGTCCCGACAAGTGTAAGATCGTCGTCAAGAGCATACCATCCATGCCACACACAGCGCAGCAGCAAGCAAAAGAAGCCATAATCTGGCCGACATATATTATCTCAAATTCTGGTGACTTCAAGTACGTCATTCCGTGCCTGGAAATAAAATCCATCTCAGTCGCTATAATTATTTGAAACGCGTGAGAGACTGGAGGCTTTCTGAAAATAGCATACCAGACATCGTATGGTAAATGTCGATTGCTGGTACCATTGTCAAAGTATCCTTGTTTCATGGAATCTAGAGTTGCAGAGAGCATGAATGTGAAGGTGGTAAGAATTCCGGAAACGAAGAATGATATGGTTGAGGTCCTTCCCCAGTAGGCGAACTCTTCGTAGGATCGTCTTTCCATGGGGTTGTCGGTTGAGTACCAGAGGCTTTTCAGTTCTTCTAGTAATTTGTAGGCGCTTTCTCTTTTGGCGAGGATGTAGACGGTTTTGAAGAGGAATTGCGTGATTGTCAGTGTGATGGAACCTGCACCTGTGTTGAGGGAAATATTAAAAATCGTCAGTGGTGAATCTTAAATGGTGAATCTTGACGGTCCGATATGTGTGAGGGCAGTATGAGGTGCATGAGTGTATGAATGTATGAGACATAACTGTACGAATTAACATGATATGCATTATTATTAAAGCTGACAAATAGTAATTCAAACTGATAAATATTGGAAATGTTTCTAAAGGAGTCTTTCACTTTTTGAGACCACGGTAGATCACAAACTTAGAAACTTGCTAACTAACTTGCTGACTAATTTGTTAACTAACTTGTTAACCAACCTCTTAAGTACCTAACCTTCATACGACATCAGTCTTCACTCATCCAACTTTATTTTCACACTCACCTGCCAGAATAGAAAGATCATCCCAACTAGCCAACAACATTATAATCTCAGGAACGTAAATACTGCACACCACTACAATAGACACCAATATATGCAAAACCGACATCACTGTTCTAATTGTCGATGGTTTCTCATCCGAAGGCCATATTCCGTACAAACTGCACAAAATCTTGTTCGGCAGTATGTAATAATCGATCGTGTCCTTTGACGGTTGTCTCATCTTCTCCCTTCACGAACTGATCGCGTGTTACTCAGAGGGTTCGCTTTTTTCCTGGTATACCGCAACATTGTCGCTAGCTATGAATTCTTCATAATAATATTACATGGTTGATAGGAATGCAGATTCCTTTCGTCACATGCAATTTGCAATATTAAATTCTGTACGCGGTTTTTGTAACGTCATGGTTTGGCGAATAGTTAGTCGGTGGGCTAAGACTTGGGTTGAAACTTTTATGAGTTGGATATGGAGAGAGTGGAGGTGAATTATTTAGCGTTTGTGGGGGTAGACAAGTTATTTCTTGTATTCTATTTTTTCTTGCGTGTTCTGTAGAAGAGAGTGTATTTTTCGTAGATAGCAATAAGCTATCTGATAGCTAACATAGTAGCAGGGATAAGTGGTGTATTTGGTGGCACAGTGAAGAAGTATTATCGGGAAATCTGAAGATTAAGATTGTTAAGCTGAGTTGACATGATGTAATGTATGATTATAATGTATGGTAATGTATGTAATGCATGTTAATGTATGTAATGTATGTAATGAATGGTTTCATCCTTTTTAATTACAACAACCTATTACACATTTTAAGTTAACATACATTCAACTATCGAAATAGCTCGTCAATTTACTCGCAGAAAAATACAATTACATATTTTTATCCTGTATTTGCCGCAACAGAGCAAAATAAGAGAAAGCTGTATTAAGTACCTGGAACAAATATCTTCTGTACCACTAATATAGTACTATTTTTTAAAAAATCAATTGCTTACATTCGTCAAAGTATAGATTGACAGCGAATGAAAGATGAACGCCGATAGACTGCAAGTCTTCTGCGACCTCAAAACAATGAGGCATAACTGTCTTCGATAAAATGGCGGGAGGTTGTACCACGGCACATTCACATAAGCAGCGTATCCTATGTGCAGACTTTCCTCAATTAGAATCTCGCCGGGCCAGCACCACAGTAGAAGCTGTATCGTCATCGATAATATGTAGGACACAAATTTGAATAGGTCATCAGCTGCGTTGTTGCTGATGATCGCGTATCCACCCAGACAGAACACAATGCTACTCGTGAAAACTTGCATGAAGATGATGGGAGTCAATAAGGAATTAACATCCTGCAGCACTCTGTAAAAATAACTATGAAGCTGAATACTTGATAAAAACGGTGGACTCACTTTATTAATCGCTGATGGTGACGGATGCATTTGATCAAATCTGCAGACACACTCGGAGGACAGTTGTGCAAATCGATTCGATTGTACTGCATTTCGATACCGATGTTACTGAGCCACGTCGTGATTAATCTAAATTGTCCTGATAAGTGCAGGATGATGGTCACGCACGTGCTATCCAGACCGATAACTGCGCAGGCAGCAAAGAGGGACGCCAGAATTTGGGAAACGAAGATAATTTCAAATTCAGGTGAATCTATGAAGTCTATTCCACGCCTGTTGTCACATGTCATAAATATAATCTCTGTTTTTTAACAAAACTTGCTACAATTTTATATAATAATTCAGTACATCTCCATTTGGTAAGTTTGAGAGACTTCTAACTGTACATTTATCATACAACTGTGTTATTCATATACTGAAGATTAATAACTACTGATAAAATACAAGCAAACAGATAAAAGGCAAGTTTTACCAGACATCATATGGCAAATGTCGGCTGCCAGCATTCATGTTCACATCCGTAATGTAGTCATACGTCGCAGAAATGAAGAAGATGATCATAGTCCCAACGCAAGATACGCCGAAGGTTATGGTACAAGTCCTCGCCCAGTATGCGAACAATTCGTAAGATTGTCTTTCCACAGGATCTTTCGTCAAATACCATAGACTTCTAAATTCTGTATATAACTTGTGTGCCTCTTCTCTCTTCATGGTTAGATATACCGTTTTGAAGAGTACCTGCATGAGCGACATTATGATGCATCCTGCTCCTAATTTGGAAGAACGTGTATTAGCATGTAATCAAGATTTACTGTATAGTCAAGATTTATTGATGGCAAATATTATTTTTGTGCAAATAAGGGAAATGTGGCAGAGGCTGACGTATTCACCATGTAAGGCTGAATGGGTCTAGGTAGTACCTGGGGTTGGCTGGTGGGAGATTTGTGGGACACCTAGGAATGAGTTGATACCAGAGGTTTATGGAGAATATGTGGAAACTCTACATATAGAGAACTTAGATAGGACCTAGATACAGATTAAGGGAAATCTATGGAATCCCTAAGGAGACTAGAACTTCAGGGAGAAGGTAGAGACCACCTATGTAGTTGCTGAAGGCAACTTGCCTATATCTTGTTGAAGGTTTTGCGGTCAGCCTATGACGTGAACCTATGTATAATTGACTGCTGAATGTGAGATAGGATCCCAAAGACATTTCAGAAGTTACATAAAAATTTCAAACCGAGTCTACATCCACATATAACATCCATATTTACATATAGCATCCACGTCTACATATGACATCCACATCCACATATAACATCCACATCTACATATAACATCCACATTCACATATACCATCCACACCTACATATAACATTCACATCTACATATGACATCTTCATCCACATATGACATCCACATCCACATATAACACTCTTTGTCTATCTCCTCCAACTTCACCCAATCTAACCACATTATCTAAATTAATTCAACTTGCAAGTTACCTGCAAAAATCTTCAGATCCCTCCACCTGACAGCCAATAATATAATCTCAGGCACCACGATCACACACACCGTCAGTACAGAGAACACAAAGTGCAAGTACGCCAACATTTTCCTGACAGTCGAGCGTTTCTTATCAGAAGGCCACATACCGAACATACTGCACAAAATCTTGTTCGGGAATATGTAATAATCGATAGTGTCCTTTGACGGTTGTCTCATCTCCCATCACTTGATCGCGTGTCTCGTAGAGGGTTCGCTTTTTTCCTCGTCCACCGGAAGAATGTCTCCAGTTAAGAATATTTCATAATAATATTACGCGACGGGTAGAAATGCAAGTTTCTTTCGTCACACGCAATCTGCAATATTGATGTCCCTTTGCTACCCTCTGCTTTTGATATGCGGAGTAGCTAATGTGGGCAACCAGATATCTTGGAAGCTATTAAAACTTTTATGAGTTAACAACACGAAGATAGGTGAATCATTTAGTATTTGGGGGGTCATCTTTCGTTTCATTTTTTGCCCTTAGTGTTCTTTGCGACCGGGTAGCAAACAGGGTAGCTTGGAGTCAAGGAGTATTCGAATCAAGGAAAATAAATTATATTTCACTTGTTGTCAGAGAATTATTTCAGACATCGAACAGACATTGCATATCACGTCATACACGTATGATGCATATAACTAAGTGTATATATACTCTGCGTAAAGTGATGTCATCGTCACGAGGATGTGTCTTGCATCTTTCGTAACAGGGCGAAATAGGAGGAGCCTGTGTTGAATACCTGAAACAAATATTCTTGCGATCAAATTCTTCTTATGATCAAATTTACAAAATCCTGTTTCCAAATTTGAATTGAGGACATCAAGAGAATCAGAGACATCAAGAATCAAGGACATCAAAAAAATCAAGGACGTCAAGAGAATAAAGTACATTGTTATTGAGTGTTTGAGATATTTGTAAGATTTAGAGGATGCGAATAATTGATCTCCGAGCAATTAACAAAAATCCAAAAACGTACACTTGTCAAAGTGTGGCAGCCCAACGACTTGAACGTCAACGCCGATATGCTGCACCCGTCCTGCGATTTCAGAATAATGAGCATCAACTGTCTGCGATAAGCCGGCGGTAACTGATACCACGGCACCCCCAGGTAAGCCGCATACCCCACTTCCTGACTCTCCTGAATCAAAATCTCACCCGGCCAGCAATACATAACGAGCTGCACCAATACTGACGATAAAAAACAGGAAAATTTTAAGAGATTGTCTCCACCGTTATTGCTGAGCACCGCGAAACCGCTTAAACAAATTTGTACGCCACTCGTGAGAAGTTGTATGAAAATAATTGGTATCAGTAAACTGTTAACGTCCTTTACTACCCTGTAAAAATAACACTATAAAGAAGTTTTACATAAAAAATTCGTTAAGTGCTTACTTTGATAGTCGCTGATGATGACGAATGCATTTGACTAAGTCTGCTGCTACTTTCACTGAACAATCTTTTGGATGGGGCTTGTAATTCATTTCGACACCGATGTTATTTAACCAGGTGGTGATTAATCTGAATTGACCGGACAGGTACAAGATCGTGGTCCAGCACATTCCGTCCATGCCGCACACTGCGCAGCAGGCATTTAATGTCGCTAATATTTGGCAGGCGTATATCACCTCGAACTCGGGCGATTTCAGAAAGTCGAGTTCTTGCCTATTAGGTGATCATAAGTATCATCGAGTAATCATAAGTATCATCATAAGTACCATCATATGTATCATCATAAGTATCACCATGAGTATCATCATAAGTATCACCATAAGTATCATCAGGTAATCATCACTTTTATATTCCAACTTAAGTTCCAATTATTTTAAACTTCAGAAACAGTGACACACCAGATTCACTTACCAGACGTCATATGGTAAATGTCGATTGGTTCTGTTGCTATTCTCCACGTCCTCAAAGCAATCCAATGTCGCAGTGACCAGAAACAGAGACGTGGACCCGACAGCCGACATGAAGAAGCCTATGGTAGAAATCCGTCCCCAGTAAGCGAACACTTCGTACGATTGCCTTTCTACGGGATCGTCAGTCGTGACCCATAGGCTTCTCAGTTCTACCAATAGTCTGTGTGCGGTGTCCCTCTTCGTCGTGAGATAGATTGTTTTGAACAGAAACTGCGTCATTGTCAGTGTCAAGGTTCCTGCACCTAGTTGAGAAAATAAATGAAATATACAAACATTTTCTAATATGCTAATAATTTTGAAAACTCAAGAAAGTTGCTAATAATTCAGGAGAACCGTAGGAACTCAAATTCATTATTGTTATAACTGACTCAAGCTGATACTTGGTATCTAATTTTTCATTTGTTTGAGATCTTGATTGATGGTGGAAAGTGGGATTCTATGGTGACTAAAGACCTTAGAGTGCTGTACCAAGTTTGTGAAAGATGTGAAACCTACTCCACAACCTACATATGCTCCCACACCAAATTCACACATGCATAATTAAGTTTTTTATTTACCTGCTAGAATAGAAAGATCACGCCACTTGGTAGTTAATATTATAACCTCAGGCACGAAAACGGAACACACAATAATCACTGAGATCACCAAATGCACGACCGCCAGCACCTGCTTGCTCGTTGTGCGTTCTTCATCGGTAGGCCACAGTCCATATATGCTACATAAGATCTTGTTCGGTTGTATGTAATAGTCGATCGTGTTCTCCGACGGTTTGCCCATGCTTCCTCGCCGCGAACTGATCTCGAGTTTACCAGGGGTTTCTCGTACACCACAACAATGTTCCTAGCTACGACTTATTCATAATAATATCACGGATAGAACGTACCTTTCGTCACAGGCTATCTGCAACATTAATGTCTCCACGTTGTCTGACTGTCGCGTGCTTATCGATGCATGCTTCGACTAATAATTAATACTGCAAGTACTGTGGGATATCTTCAACGGTATTAAAACTTTGATGAGCTAGGACAACGCGACGACAACACTGATGAATTATTTAGTATTTAGGGTAGCAAAGTTATTTCTTCCATTTCATTTTTTACGGAAAGAACAGCGAGGACTCTGATCGGTAACTTTACAGTGTTACTGACATCTTTACAGACTTTGCAGTAGTGGTGCATTAGTTGCCACGAAATCTGTTCGGGTTAAGGTATGTAGTCTAGTTTCATGTATGATATTTTTTCTTCTGTCTTTTAGAATCAATAGTGCTTTGTCTTTTCGATAAATAGTTTACAGCGATAGTTGTAGTTCATTGTTGTTTATGTACGTGGATTAATGGACCGTCACGTGGACTTTTCTTGTACTTTTCGGAGCAGGGCGAAATAGGAACAGCCTGTGTTGAATACCTAGATCAAAATTTCTACTGTTAGCGTTCATACATTTCTACTGTTATTCAGCTGTTAAAAATTAGATGTTCCATTGCTACATCTTTCAATTTCGAATTTTTGAAAAGTTAAGAACTAAAGAAGAAATTTTGACAAAATCAGAACTAAATTTATGTATGAAACTATTGAATAATGTCTAAAGTTTTAAATTTCTGAATTTGGTAATCAGAGAGATCGTTAAATGAATATTTATAAATCTGACTAATTTGCAAGCACCCTGACTGAAATAATTTTTCTCTAAGAAATTTAAGAGAAATTTGGATACGTACGTTCGTCAAAGTGTGACTAGACAGCGACTTAAACGTCAATGCAGATATGCAGCAATACTTCTGCGACTTTATGATTATGAGTAACAGTTGTCTCCGATGAAACAGTGGCAGTTGGTACCACGGTACATTCAAGTACGCAGCGTGACCCACTTTCTGACTTTCCTGAATGAGAATCTCTCCGGGCCAGCAGTACATTACGATCTGTATCGTCACCGATGCTAAGTAAGCGATGAATTTGATAAGGTTATCTCCCGCGTTATTGCTGAGCACTGCAAATCCGCTTAGACAAATCTGCATGCCACCAGTAAGGAGTTGAAGGAAAATAATGGGTGCCAATAATGTGTTGACATCCTCCACCACACTGTTAAAGAGAGTTTAAGGAAGAATTATCACGTTGTTGAAATAAAGTTTGAGAAAGAATTATCAGATTATTAAAATAGAGTTGAAGGAAGAATTATCACATTGTCAAAATAAAATTTAAGGAAGAATTGTATGACAAAATTAATGAAGAAGAGTTACTTTATTAATCGCTGATGATGACGGATGCATCTGACGAGGCCCGCCGTCAGCTTCACCGGGCAATTATGCAAATCGATAGGCTTGCACTTCATTTCGATACCGATGTTATTCAGCCAGGTGGTAATTAATCTAAACTGACCCGACACGTGTAAGATCGTGGTCAAACACATACCATCCAGACCGCAAAGTCCGAAGCACTCCGAAGCAGCAAATAAAGGATGCCATGATCTGGCCGGCGTACATCAACTCGAATTCGGGTGATTCCAAGTATTCCATTTCGTGCCTGTATTCGATATAAATATTATTCCGATTGAAAGAATTAAGTTGAGGAATGAATAAAAATAATTCACCAGACATCGTATGGCAAGTGTCGATTGCTAATATTGTCCAGGTCTTGTTGATTAAGAGAATCCACAACGCCAGATATCATGAACATGGAGGTGGTTGACATTCCTGACACGAAGAAGGCTATGGTGCATGTTCTACCCCAGTAAGCGAACACTTCATACGATTTTTTTTCGACAGGATCGTCAGTCGAGTTCCAAAGGCTTCTCAGTTCGTCTAAGAGTCTGCATGCTCTTTCTTTCTTCGTCAGAAGATACGCGGTTTTGAAGAAAGTTTGTCCAATTGTCAGTACGAGGGAACCAGCTCCTAATTGAGAAAGAATATTAACTTAAGTAGTATTGGCAACCCACGAGTTGGTGCGTGATAATGAACCAGAAAGTACCGATGTCGTTCGCATCGATTGTAACGATGTCAAACCAAGAGTTGGCGCAAGCTGAAACAGGCGCTGTTTTAATACAAAACAGTAGACGTTTAACCTGTTATCTTACGATTTGTCAGATCAGTCGGAACTGATCTACCGTATTAAAACAGAGAAAGAAAGTTTAAATATTATGTCAGTTTTTCAGCGATCATTGGCCATGCAATTTATAATTGTACAAACTCCAAATTGAAGCGTGTTCGTAATTCGGGTAAGATTAGACATATAGATGACGCACGAGTGCGTCATAGCTCACGCACCAACTCATGAGACATTCATATGTAAATTATGCTATCTAAATTGAAAATTGACGCGTACCAAATATATGAGAAAAATTTACTATATTAAAATTGTGAGTGCGTCGTGAGTGCGTCACGAGTGTGTCATAGCTCAAAACTCGTGGGACATCCGAATGTAAATTATGATACCCAAATTGAAAATTAACCCATACCAAATATGTGAGAAATTTTGCAATATTTCAATTGTCAGTGCGTCACTAGTGTGTCATAGTTCTCGCACCAACTCATGGTTTGATACATCACGCGATGTCCTTTCCATTTACCTGCTAGAATAGAAAGATCCCGCCAATTGTACGATATGATTATAACCTCAGGCACAAAGATGCAACACGCAATTATCACAGAAATCACCAAATGCAGAACCGAGAACACTTTCTTGACAGTCGAGCGTTTCTCACTCGAAGGCCATATCCCGTACATGCTGCATAAAATCTTGTTCGGCAATATGTAATAGTCAATGGTGTCCTTTGACGCTTTTCCCATGCTGTCCCTCCGCGAACTGGTCGTCCGTCCGCTAAAAGGCTCGCATCGTTCGCAACAATGCTCCCTAAGATCTCTTTGTAACAATATTAGACAGAGGACGGTAAATCACATAGCTAGATTTCCCCTTTTGCAATTTTCAATATTCATGTCACCGTTTAGCGAAACTTTTTCATCATCTGTGTTTTGGTTCATGATTTGTCGACCAGTATATACTGTAGGAAGTATTTCTTGCATAACGGAGTTGTAACTTTTATGAGCTCGCGCGACATAACATACAGTTTGTATCCCATGTGAATTATTTAATGTTTGTGGAGCCTCTGATTTGCTTTTGTGCTTTTCCTTCCCTTTTGTTAGAGTAAACGCGGCTTTTTGGGATTGGGAAGACGTGGTGTGTGATAAAGCATGTGGTGCATTGGAGGTTGACACCTTTCACGAATTTCACAGTTTTGTCGAAACTGTTTGCAGAGTAAAATCATTTCTAGTCTGCGAGAGGTGCCATTCTAATTAACAACTAGATTGAATAATAGTTTACTAACTTCAAACTTATTTCAGTAACGTGTGATATATTTATATGATTTAGTGGTATGTTTCAGATTGTTGTACAGCAAAATAGTAACATGACTGTGAATTTTGTCATTAATTGACGGAATTGTTGTTGCAGGTCTATGAGCTAAGTGACCGCATCAGACATATTGCATGAACTTACTGAGTGAATATGAACATTCCTGATCGTCCAAAAATATGAAGGTGCTTTTGAACTCAAACATCAGGAAAATGAAGAGACGCAGTCACGTGTCCTCATGATGAAGTTCATGGTGAGGATATCAAATGCATTTACAATTTGACAGATTACCTACAGTTCAAGCTCTTGGTCTTGAAACAATATTGCCATAATCTGTGCTCTTAGCCCAGGAAATTCAAGGATGAATCAGAGAAGCAAAATGTTATTGAAAATTTTTCAAGCTAAGCTGCATATAATTTAAAATAGCTAGTTGTTGAAAGTGGACACTAATTGTGCTTGATATTTAAAAAAAAATATTAATAAGATTATAGAGAAAAAATAACAGTGGTCAGTGCAAAAATTCTTGTGTTACAATCAATAGTATTAACCCATTGTTAACTTGAAAAATTAAGAAGATATTGACCGTTCAATAAGGTTTCAAACTTCAGTTTAATAACACTAATAACAAAAATTCAATCATACATTTCTCATTAACTTCATAACTTCAGTCAATATAATTCTGAACTTGCTCGTGTGGTGATCCCATGATTCCGAAACTACGATTGCAATCGTTACATCGATGTTTCTTGCATTTGTCTCAGCAGGGTAAAGTACGAAGCCGCTGTATTAAATACCTGAAACAAATTGGACGTCTTCTGCAAGTTATTAACTAAATTGCTAAATAGTTGTTAAATAATTAAGTTGCTAAAATTGCTAAATAGTTGCTAAATAATTAAGTTGCTAAAATTGCTAAATAACTAAGTTGTTAAAATTGCTAAATAATTGCTAAATAACTAAGTTGTTAAAATTGCTAAATAATTGCTAAATAACCAATATCAAATAACTTATTATTCAGCAAACTAAATCATAACACTCTTCAAAATCCGATAACTCAAGCAAAGAATAAAGGACTTACGCCAGTCAAGGTTCGAAACGAAAGTCTCTGAAACGTGACCGCAGTAATGCTGCAACATTTCTGCGCTCTCAGAATTGTAAGAAGCAGCTGTCTTCTATTACTCGGTGGCAATTTATACCAGCACACATTCAGATAAGCCGCATCCCCTACCTCCTCGCTCTCCCGAATCAGAATCTCACCGGGGTAACAATACAGCAGGAGCTGTGTCGTCATCCCGAATAAATAAAGAACGGCTTTAATTAATTCGGCATTCGTGTTGTTATTCATAACCGCGAATCCGCTCAAACAGATCTTGATGCCGCTCGTGAGGAGTTGGATGAAGATGATGGGGATTAGCAGATCGTTCAATTCGTTCACCACACTGTGCAAAAGTTATGGTAATCCGAGTAGAGTACAAGAGTACAGAGTTCAAATAGTTATCTGAGTAAAGAGTGCAAGAGTATATACTTTAAATACTAATCTAAGTAAAGAGTACTATAATACAGAGTTTAAATACTAATCTAAGTAAAGAGTGCTATAATACAAAGTTCAAATAGCAACTAACTAAAAGTACAATTAACAAATTTATCAAATTAAATAATTAAGAAAAATGAAGCTAACTTGACCAATCTCTGATGATGACGAATGCATCTGACCAAGCCATCTTCAATATCCGGCGGACACTTATAATAGTGATCCTTCGGTTCATTCTTGATCTTCACTCCGATATTATTAATCCACGTTTTAATTAACTTAAATTGACCCGACACGTGAAGGATAACTGTCATACACGAAGTTTCGATACCCCAAACCGCTGCGCTGTTGTAGATCGCTGAGACGGTCTGTACGGTGAACATGATCTCGAAGCTAGGGGATTCGCTCACATTCGTTCCGTACCTAAATTGGTACCCATGAATTTGTAGTTTATATGCGATTTATATTCTAATCGAACGATTACAAAAATTTGATGTTAATATTTATTGTCTCAACATGATGTTTTTCGTACAAGGTGCATTTGCATCAATTGTTTCAACTATGTAATCGTTCAATTTTCAATGCACATAAATTCACAAAATTGTGTCTTTGAATTTTTTAGGAAAATTTGTTATCAAACTTCACTATACATAAATTCATAAAATTGTATTTCGGAATTTTTGCCAAAAGTTTGTTATCAAACGTGAATATACATAAATGCATAAAATTGTGTCTTAGAATTTCTGAGAAAAATCAGTTATCAAACTTTCCATGAAATGAACTTACTGCGAACAATTACAGTACGAAAAAAGTTGAAAATCAGATTTTAGTTTTAAAGAACAGGTTTTACCAGACGTCAAAAGGTAAAGATCGAGTAATAGTATCATTGTTGGCGGAATACTGTATTATAATACAATCGACAGCTGCCGAGGCAGTGTAGATAACCGTGGTCCAAGTGCCGAAGGAGTAGAATATAATCGTGAAGCGTCTCGCCCAGTAAGCAAACTCCTCGTAGGATCGTTTCTCTTCGGGGTCATCGGTGGAGTTCCACAAACTTCTTACTTCCTTGTACAGTTTGTACGTTTTCTCTCTTCTTATTGCCAGATAAATCAGTTTGAACTCGAATTGGGCGAGCGTCGTTAGGATGCCACCTACCTCTGATCAGAAGAGATCAGTTGCTACGATGCGGTGATTACATTATTCGAGTTCGGGAATTGCGTTTGGAGGGAATTTAGGGCTTGCAAGGTTGGGAATTTGGGGACTTGGGAAATTCAGAGTTAAGAGAGATTTGGTAAATTGGGATTTTGGGATTTGGGGATTGAGGAATTGGGGGATTTTGGGAATTGGGGGGCGTGGGAATTGAGGAATGTGGGAATTGGGGGACGTGGGAA